GACCTGCAGGCCCTGCCATTCAGCGAGGGGGGCTGGAGACGAGCCCCCAGGCTGAGAGCAGAGATGCAGCGGAATGGCTGTTCCACCGCAGGGGGGTGGATTCAAACCCAGGACTCACCTCCATGGAAAGGAACCCACTGGTACCTCGCCTGGCTCCCCGGGATGGGCTTGCCGTCATACAGAGAGCACTGCACGGCCCGGAAGGGCACCAAGCTGCCAGGACACTCCTATAAGGGAAGGGCACAGCGCTGCAGCCTCACAGGGCGACCTGCCGTTCCTTGGCCGCCGGGCATGCGAAGGAGTGGCAAAGCCCCACCGAATCCTCTCTGTACTGGCAGAGACCAGCGGGCAGGTTACACTGCACCCGGCAGGTGGGGGGACTGCAGGAGGCCAAGAATCGGAGAAAATGCCCATGCCCAGCGCTGGTCTGGGTGCCTGAGCTCTGTCTTGCCAGGGAGTCAGATGGGACGTGAGTCTCAAGATCAGAACAGCAGAGGGGCTGGGCTGGACGATGCGGGAAGGAACCACCCACTGTTGGGGGAGGGCGGGGGGCACAAAGGGTCTGCCACCGAGACAGGATGGAACACGATCCAGTTGTGGGAGCGACGGACAAACCTCTGAGGGGATGGTGCGGAGAAGGGGCCAGCCGCCGGCATCCACCCCTCCGGGGGCTGCAAAGCTCATGCGAGGAGCGGATGGAGAAACTGAGGCACAGAGAGGCGGGACCCAGCCAGAGCCGGCGGCAGAAACAGAACCCAGGTGCCTGCCGTCCCAGTCTAGCACCCTGGTGCCTCGCTCTGAGCAGGCAGCTCCGTGTGGCTGTGGCATCACGGGGAGGATATAAAGTGAGTCACATGCATCCCTCCCCCACTCCAGCCGCAGTCGCTCCGGTGCACACTCACGTGTAGCTTGCACACTCGATACTGCCGGGGCTCCCCCGCACACAGCTTCTCTTCGGGGAACCTGCGGTAAAAGCCCCTTAGCGCAGCGGCTCCCAAGCTGCCAGGCCTTCCATCCGGCGGGGGTCCCATCCTAGGCCCTGTGCCCTAAGGGGGGAGCCGGGGCGGGGGGGCCAGGGCTGGCTCCGCCGCGCCCGTTTGGGGCAGGGACGTGTGGGATGCAGGAGCTGTGACGACTTACTGGAAAAATGTGCGGCAGCATCTGTGACGAAGTGGGGGATTTTCTTGTTTGTTTTCTTGTTTTCGGTGGGTTTCAATGGTTTGCATGCGGAGGGGGTGGGACTCAGTTTCCCTGGGGGTTACTGGTTTAACGAGGGGAGGGGAGGGGAGAGGGAGTTTGTTGTTACAGAGGACCGGAGAGGGACCGTGGGACCCCAGCCAATGGCCTGGAGGACGGATACCCCAGCGACCAGTGACCTGAGACCCAGCTGAGGAGACGCAGCCGGTTCTGGCTAGGGGGAGGACAATGGGCTGCAGAGCGAGGACCCAGTGACCTAACCAGCCAGTTCCAGCCAGAGGACAGAAGGAGGAGAGGAGGCCGCAGTTTACGACCCTGTTTCCCTGGAGAGAAGACAATGGACAGAGGCGGGCTTGGGGCCGGGGATCTCAGATGCCCAGCTGGGAGCAGGGGGGCTCTGGGCTGGAGAGGGGGAGCAGGCAGAGCCCACCTGGATGCAGAGAGACTGGAATGTGCTGGGCTGAGCGAGGCCAGGCCTGAGGCCCTGAGAGTTTCCTGTGCTGTGTTCAACTCTCAATAAATCCTCCTGTTTTATGCGGGCTGAGAGTCACTCCGATCTAGAGAACAGGGTGGCATCAACCCCTTCGGGGGTGGAGGCCCCGGGGGGTCCAGAGCGAGGGGACTCCCTGAGGGGGCCCATGGCAGAGACAGACGTGCTAAGGCTCAGAGAGGTGCGGCTCCAGGAGGTGGAGGGGCCTGACCCCGAGAAAGAGTGGACCCCCGAGAAGGGCTGTCGCACTGAAAGGGGCACCCCCCCCCGACCGCATGGGGCCAAGAGTGGGCACGATCTGTGAGTCCGTGACAGCATCACCGTGGCCCAAGGGGAAAACAAAGGGGAAGGAAAAGGTGCCCGAAATCCCAGGCATGGCGCAGAGCCAGATGCCCGCCGAGCCAGCGGTGCCTCCCGGGGCTAGCCAAGGGGAGCGCTGACATCGCCATCAAGGCTGGGGAGCTGGGGGAGCAGGGCAGAGCGTGCCCTGAATCGTGCCCTATCTCGCCGGGCATCCCCTCCCCCCCGCCTAATCAGGGCAGAGATAAGGAACCCGCTCACCCCTGGACTCTGGCCAATGGGCACAGACAAATCCACAGGCTCCCACCCTGCCCATGTCTGCCTGGGATCCCAGCCACCGCTGAGGCTCCCCAAAAGGGGACTGGTACCACAATGTACCCCCCCCCCAGCAGCTTTCCCTTGGGGGCGTGCGTCATGGATTTCAAGGGACCATTGGGATCAGCTAGTCTGATTCTCAGAGTCAGGTTGAGCCCAATCACTTGGAGGGAGGGGGTGGGGGTAGGAATAGTTGGGAGTTGGGGGGCGGCTTCTTCTGCCCAAGTTTAAGCTTTTTTATTTCTCCCCCTCCTAGAAATCAGGCCAAGCCTATGTATTTTCCATGCAAAATATCAAATGAGGCTTAAAACATTTCATCCACAATTTCTTGTTGTTAGGAACATACAGGTCATTCCCCCCAACCCCACCCCCAAAATGAGTTTCCTTCCAGATTTTTCTATGGAATTTTTCAGATTAACTAAAAATATTGTTTTTCTGCTTCCCCCGCCCTCCAAAAAAAGGGGAAAAAACCCCAAATCAAACATTTGTCATTAGAAACCTCCGGCAAAGTTTCAACCCAAATTAAAATGCGAAGTCGTCGGAAATGCCCCAGAGAAAAATATTTTCCCATGAGAACCTTTCAGGCCGCTCGAGAAATCAAACCTGTTCCTTGGATCCCTGCCGACTGGGCCCTGGAATCCAGGCCAGCGCTTGCCCAGGGCTGGCGCAGCTGGCCATGTTGGGCGCGGGGAGGGTTAGGCTGACGGGCTTTGGGCAGAACCGGAGGTGGATTCCTGGCCTGCCTGGAGTGGAGCCGGTGGTCTCCAGGTGTGCATGTCGCTTTATATCAGGGTGCATTGCATAGGGGTCATTCGCACCCAGGCAAAGACCTCCCCCACGCCCCACATCAGCACTGGCCCTGTAATAACCAGCCTGAGATGCCCTGTGTCTCGCCC